TTACTGGTGATATTAACTTTGATCACGTGAAGAAGGTGGGAATAAGGTGTCTATCAGGTTTCTCTATTCTAAAGTTGTTTTTTTCCCTTTTTCATACTCTATTCATCAAAAGCAAGTCACTAAGTCCAGTCTAGACACCCTTGAGTAAGGGAATCCATTAAGTTTTAAATTTTAAATACTGTATTTCTCATTTCTAGCAGTTTTATTTGATTTTGGTGTTTTTGTCTTTTTTGTCATAGTCCCATTCTTATGGTTTAAGATTTTAAATTATTTTAAATACACTTATTTAATTGTCTTTTCAGGTATCTTTGCATTATCCAAAGTTCTAGGACTACTAATCCTTCTTCTTGTTGTGTCTGCTGACTCTAGTTCACAGAGCAATGTTTCACTGTTTGTTTTATAATTTTGTATTGTAATCTCCTCTTCAGTGGGGCATGATGTGCAAGAATCTCACAGATCTGGGTTTTTAAAGTGTTCTAATAGTGCAGTTTTACGATAGCTTCTGCCAAAAATAAAGCTGGCTTGGCAATAATTTTACTTTCTAATCCTGTAGTTTCCTGGATAACATGGGTAGTTTAAATGAAGACTGTAAACCTACAGAAAGTCCAGGTCGGAGGGCTTGATTATTGAGCAGAGATTTTTGTTGTGTCTTTGTGACGATGCACAAATTTTTTGTTTTCTGGTCTATCTTTTCACTCAGGATGCAGACTTGTAGTCCTAGCTTTAAGTAGAGATCTCAGTTCATAATCCCCACTGGGTGGGCACCATATCTCATTTCCAGTCCCCATGTGGAAGTAGGAATGAATAGTGTCCCCACTGCGGGCAGCCACAGGATTAGTTCATGATTTTTCTTCTCTAATTTATGGCTTCCTCATTACTTCTGGCATCTGAGGACTCTCTTTATTACAAATTCATCTCTGGATTTGTTTTCTTTTTTAAGTTTGATAGAATTATCCAGCATTTCTAAGTGTTTGTAACAAAGGAATTCTGTTATTTTAGTCAACTAACTTGACAGAGGCAAAGTGTTCCCTATCTTTTATACCAATTTATTCAGAAACAGAAAAAAGTTCTAAAAACAGAAAAAAGTTCTAAAAACACAGGTTTGAACTTTGTTCCCTGTTTTTCTTACCCTTTCCAATATTTCCAGCAGTAAATTCTGAAGCCCCATTAAATATACTAACGTCAACTAAAATCATTTTCTTTTGTTGATCATTAGAGAAATCAAACTTAAAGACTTCTTAGTGCTAAGAAACTGAATGGAATATATATGTGAAACAGGAAAATAAGATATAGTGGGAGCAGAGCCCTAGGTTAGGAATCAGGAGTTTTAGATTCAAGTCCCATCTCTATGACTTCAAAGTTCACCTCAAAGATAAAAGGCTGTACTCACGGATCTCCAATAGTTTGATTCTGTTTAATTCATAAAGACACACTTTAGATGATCATGGTTATTTACTTGCTTGTCATCCAATCTGCCTAGCGTTAACAAGTAAGCTCTCTGAATTTTTGGTCCACTTACTAAAATATCTTTCCAATAAAGAAATACATATGATCATATTTAAACATTTGCTTTGTGTATTTCTTTTATTATTAAAACTGTAAACAGCATTAAGATATTTTACTTATAACTTTTTTTTTGCTTGCTTGTTTTTATTTTTTATTTGAAAATAATTTCAAACTTACATATAAGTTGGAAAAACAACACTAAGAACACCTGTATACCTTTATCATTTATAGCTCCTGTGTGTTCTTACTCTTTTTTAATGCATGTATTTGTAGAGATA